TTTTATAAAGAATATCTCTTTGGATTTGAGACTTTAGTCTTTGCAACTTTACAGATCTTCTTTATGCACCAAGAGCTTGTAAACACTCCAAAGAGAAAGGAAAAATAGAAATAGCATCATATGACCCCTTTAAATCTTGCTTTGATGCTTTGTGTCCTGCTGTCCTCAGTATTATAAATGATTCCTTACAGACTGGGGTTGTTCCAGCAGCATTAAAGATTGCTGCTGTAACCCGTGTACCTAAAAAAGAAAATGTTGCATTGGACGACTTCAATAACTTTCGCCTTATTTCAAATCTCCCGTTTTTGGCAAAATTACTTGAGGGTATTGTTGCCTCTCATTTGTGTAATCATCTCACAGTTGATAATCTTTTTGAACCTCTTCAGTTGGGTTTTCGTAAATTTCACAGTACTGAGACGGCTTTGGTCAAAGTCACCAATGATTTGTTGATGGCTTCTGACTCTGGTGCAACATCTATTCTTATGCTTCTTGATCTAAGAGCCACATTTGATACTGTAGATCACAGTCTTTTACTTACTCGTCTTGAAAGAGTGTTTGGTGTGTCCGGGACTGCCTTGAAGTGGTTGAAGTCTTATTTTACTGACCGCTCCCAGATCGTTTCTATGGGTGGTTGTAGGTCTGAGATTAGCTCTGTCTCCACTGGTGTCCCTCAGGGGTCGGTTTTAGGCCCTCTACTTTTTAACATTTATTTGTCACTTTTATATCACCTTTTGAGATCGCTCGGCCTTCATTATCATTTGTATGGCAACTATACGCAGATTTATAGACATCCAAAACCTCATTAAAAATGCCTTGACATTGCTTATTTGTCTGACTGAATTACTGAGATTAAAATAATAATGAGTAATAATTTATTGTGTTTGAACGGTGGTAAAACTGAAGTTATGCTCATTGGTTCCCTTCATTAAATTTCTAAAGCTGGTTCTCTGTCCCCGACTCTTGATGGCTCTGTTTTGGAAATCCAGAGTTATTTTTGATGCAAGTCTGTCTTTTGATTCTTTTGTCCAGAGTACTGTTAAAACCTTTTTTCCACCTCAGAAATATCACAAGATTATGCCCTATGTTAAATTTTAGTCACGGAAATGCTGATAAATTCCTTTGTCGTCTCACGGTTAGACCACTCTGGATTAACTGATGCTCGCGCCCCCCTTGACAGGTGCTGGCGTGCCCCACAGGTTGAAAACCCCTGGGTTAGACTATTGCAACGGTCTTTTAGCCGGAGTTTCTAAATCTACACTTAAGAAGTTGCTATATGTACAAAATTCAGCCACCAGGATTTTAACTGGGATTAGGATTGGCAGTCATATTACTCCAGTGTTACAATCCTTGCATTGGCTCCCAGTCAGGTTTAGAGTGGATTTTAAAATTATTATGCTTACTTTTAAAGCATTACATGGCCTGGCAATACATTACCTTACAGAATTGTTACATCTGTACTCTCCTAGTCATAGATTGTGTTCCTCTCTGTCTAACTTGTTGGTTGTTCCTCAAACACATCTAAGATCAATGGGTGATAGGGCTTTCTCTTTCTATGCTCCTGTCCTTTGGAATTCTTTGCCTCTTGAATTTAGGGAAGTTCAGAATTACAATATTTTTAAAGTTCAACTTAAGACATATTTTTTAAAACTTGCATTTGCTTGTTGATCTGGTATTGTTTTTATTGTATTGATTATATTGTGTTAGCACATTGAGAAGCTGCTTTTAAAGGCACTTGATAAAATAAAGTTTATTATTATTATTAAGTCCATTTAATTTAACAGTAGTTATCACCTTATTGAACATTATTTGTTGGTGTGTATGTTTTTGTCTCTCTTTAGTCTGGACCATGGAGGACATTTCAGGATCAGACCAGGACTGAGAAAATGTACACGCACACACAAACACACATACACACCTGTGCATATTTAATTATGTCAGATGTTCTGATCAGTCTTTCTGTGTTTAGATGCCTGTGATCTCACACTGGATCCAAACACAGCACACACTCAACTCATCTTGTCTGAGAAGAACAAAAGAGCAACATGCAAGAAAGAGCATCAACAATATCCTGATCATCCAGAGAGATTTGAGAACTGTGAGCAGGTTATGTGCAGAGAGAGTCTGACTGGACGCTGTTACTGGGAGGTTGAATGGAGCGGCTCAGGTCATGTAGCAATGACATATAAAAGAATCTGCAGGAAAGGAGGAAGTAACTGTAGGTTTGGACGGAATGAAATGTCATGGAGTCTTTATTGTAGTGATAACTTGTACACTTTTTGGTACAATAATAAGACAACTGACATTCCTGCCCCTACTCCCCGCTCTAATAGAGTAGGAGTGTATCTGGACTGGTCTGCTGGGTCTCTGTCCTTCTACTGTGTCTATGACACACACACACACACACACATACACACATTCAACACCACACTCACTGAACCCCTCTATGCTGGAATTGTAGTTTATCCTGATTGTTCAGTTTTTCTGTGTGAGAATTAACAGCCTTCTGTGAGAAACCTCAGAGACTCATATGGAAGCACATTTTAACCTCAGAGTCCTAATCTTACAGTTGTAATTTTCTCACAATTTAAACTTGAATGCCTAGCCTAGTTACAGTTGCAAGAAAAAAGCTACACTGAAAAAGATTTATGAACAAAAAAAACCCCAGTGAAATGCATGGCAGCATAGGATGCCACACGTTTACCATTAATGGAAACAACAGCCAAAGAGTCAAGACCATAAACCAAAATAACACATTTCAAATGTAATAGGAAAAATACACTCGGACCGTAAACTACAATAACATGCTCAAATTGCAAATGGTACGCAATATGATATCAATGAGGAAAAATTATTTGTGATGTTTTTCCAGCTTAAAATTGGTCATTTTAACTATATCAATCATTATTTATTTTTTATTTATTTACTTTTTTTAAAAGTATGTTGCCTTAAGGCAACATTGTACCACAACGGACAAATTGAAAAATTTGACATTTTCATGCAGAAAAAATAAATATATTTATTGACAACATCAATGCCTTTAAACAAACACTTGAACAACCAGATTTATCTAGTTTTATTGTATGTTATGTTTATGTTTATTGTATTGCACATCTCATATTTAATAAAAAGTAACATTTCATATCCAGCTGTTGCTCTCATGCAACATTGTACCATCGTGGATCACAAGAATAAACAAACCATCATATCAGTTATCAAATCAAAACATTACAATCAGTGTTGTTTTAAGGTAAAACATTTTAAATCATCATAACGTTATCCTAATATGCACCTTATCTTTACAAGCATGCACACACACACACACAAGCATATGCATGTAAAATCTCCTTCCTCACTAATGAAACCTCCCCAGCTAACGGGGAACGTTCTCAGAGCTTTGGCCAACGTTCTCTCAAGGTTCTCTCAAGGTTATAAACAAACATTCCTCCAGTAATGTTAATATAATGTTTGTTCAAAGTTATCTGGTCTTTAATGATGTTCTCAAATGGTTAGACAAAAATGTTATTTACACGTTGTTTGTAGAAGGTTTTTTTAATGTTCTCTTAATAACGAGAGAAAACATTCTTAGAACAACATTGAACATCCTTCTCAGCTAACAGGGAACTTTGTCAAGAGGTTGACACAACAACGTTACTTATACTGTACTTCAAGTTTATTTTAGTAAGTATACTTAAGTAAAGTTGAAGTATAGTTTTAAGCATACTTCATGTAGTAAGTATACAAATATCAGTGTACTAGTAGTATACTTGTAAGTGTACTATTTCAATACTCCTTGGGACTAAATTGGCCCACTTTCTAGTATATAAAAGTATACTTTAAGTATAACAGTAGTAAACTTTGAGTACACAACTAGTTTACATCTATGTTTTTAGTTTGTACTGCAACTATACTAAAAGCGAACTTATAGGTATACTGATAGTTTACTAATTAAATACTTGTAGCATTTTTAGTACACTTTGAAGTATAGTCTCAGTAAACTACTAGTTTAGTAGCTTTATACTGCAAGTATACTCGTAAGTTTTCTTTAAGTGAACTTTACATCATACTTTAAGTATACTACTATGTCCCTATTTAGGTATTAATTTGAATATATTTTGTTACATGAATATCTGAACATAAAAAACATCAAAAGAACAGGGTATCTGCTTGTAAACAAAAACATTTTATTCTA